GCTGCATGGCCATGGAATGGCAGATTTGGATATCGTTATTATGACACCATGTATGTCAAGGGGACCCTGAAAAAACTTCTCGAAAAAGTCTCCGTCTTCGCGGGTAAAAGATCATCTTCGTGTAGCTCAGAAACGAGAGGGCTAAGGACTTCAGAAGGAAAGAGCTGTGAATTGCGCCTTGTTTTCTTCAAGATGGCTTTTTCAGTTAAGAACCCCACATAAATGTGGAATACTCCCTTTAAGGGCTCTAAAATTTCAAGAGGTTTGAGCGATTTGCTCTGCGAACCATGGAAACTATCACAAGCTGCATGATCCATAGTCTGAGCTTCTCCATTTCTCCACTTCTCGGCAACCTGGCCGCTTAGGGCATTCATGATTCAAGGATAACATTTTAGCTACTCTTTGTCCACGTACTTGCCAGAGGACGCGTTGACCGTTTGAGTCAGAGCTAGTTAACAATGTAAAGCGCCCCGCTTCCAAAGCAAGAGCTCAAATTGTTACACCCAGTTCCCAACGAATCGTACAATCCTCAAATTAAATCATAGCAAATTGGCATATATATATATATATATATATATATATAATAAATGTAATAATGATCATCACCAGGTACGGTGATTTCCAGCAAGTCGTGTTCAAAACCTTCAGCATGTCTTGAAACGGTGAAGAGCACGAACATGTTCGGAGACAGGCGTTAAGTAGTGCGACGCAATGTCCAGCGCAGTGTAAATTTTTCGTCCATACCATCTATCATGCAAAATGCCCGCTGACAAATAAATGCATCGGAACCCAAACTTGACGTCAGACACCTGCATATCAAACTGCTGTACCGTGACTCATTAGTTCGCTGCAATTGTCAGAAATTCACAGTTAGCACCCGTCGTTCGCTGATACCGATGCTCGGCGCTTGTTTGGGTTTGTTTACAATTCCTGCCTGGCGGCCAGGCGGCAGTGACATCAGCTCGTGGCCCTCATTTCCGCAATGCCGAAGTGCCAGAAGGAGCGGGCCTGGTTCTGACGCCACAACAGCCTGGGGTGGCGTCATGGTGAGCCGGGGGCCCTGCTGACGCCGGCGCCACACGGTCTGTTCTCGGACGCCGCCGCTCAGCTCGAGCTGGTGGTCTGTGGTGGCCCGAGCCGCAGCCTTTGAGGCGTACAAAGAGCAATGTTCGACAGCGGCTCTTCAGATTAGTTCGCCATTATGCATGATGTTCCCTGGTCGCCACATCGATGTTGGACACTGCATTGTGCTTGAAGGTAGAAAATGACCTTTAGCCTTTTGACTCGCAATCTATCCTTCAAAGCGTGGAATATTGCCAGTTGTGCGCTTTGTCTTAGGCCGTGGCACTATATGCTACAACAATGTCACGATGAAGACACGTCTGCCAAACATTCGATTCAGGCGTGCTGCAGCTCATGACAAGGTACGCTCTAAGGCCAAATTTTTCAGAATTATCGCACGATACTGGTAACACTCCAGACAAAAATGTTACCAACGAATGAGGAGAATAAGGGACAACGTTGTATATTAATAGCTGTTCAATTCTTTTCTCAGTTTGATTGCGTTCACTTTATTTTCTATCCCTCATCATTCATTTTGACGCTTCTCTCTTCAGCATTCTCAACAAGTATTTCCATAGACCAATTCTTACATCATCAGAAGCTCAGAGGCTAGTCTTAGGGCAGTGCAGTGGCTTGAGCAGTGTCGTCGCTCGACGCGATCGCGTGAGACCCCTCTCAAGCGGCGTCGCTGCCCGCTGCCGACGTGAAGTGCTCGGGCTCCGCCGGCCCGCGCGGGGCGGCGGCGGCGACTTCCCAGGCCAGCCTGCTGAGTCGGCACGCCCAGCCGCCGATCGTGCGTGCGCCAGCATACGGCGCCGGCGGCCGCCGTCACAATTAGAGCCGCCGGCGGCGGAACAGACGCCATTCTGATGACGCGGCGCGCGCCCGCGCCCGCCGCCGCCGCCGCGTGCAAATGGCGCGCAGGAGCCGCGCCAATCGGCGGCCGGCGGCGGCGCGGCGTGCCCGAGAGCCTCCCCCCCCCCCCCCGTCGCGCTGGCAGACGAGCTGGGGACCGGGGCCGCCGCCCGCGCTGCGAGATATTTAATTGTTCCGCGCCGAGTGGCGCTGTGTTCATCCGGTCGGTCTCCTGGAAAATGTTGCAGGCGAGCGGGTTGTTAGGGTATGATTTCGCTATGAGAGGGGCAGAAAACGTGCCCTGTCATCGAAAAGATGTGCTGGAGATGCTTGAGACAGGATCGTTGTATGTGGTCCGTTGTTGATGTGTGGCCACTTTGGGTAAGTTCTGAATGAAATAGGTGATCACCGAAGTGAAGTGAGTCCCACCTATTGAAAGCACCTTAGGTTATCCATTGAAGCACAAAACGGAGCAACCTGGCCATTAAATTGTTGTTTTAATTACTCTGTGGCCCAGCTAACGTAGCATTTGTGTGCCTTTACCAGACAAGCATTGCCTCTAACCAAGAAATGGACAAGCCCGTCATACCCAGATAAGTATTTTATTCACTTATTGAACTAAGCCAAAGCTTCACGGTGCTCGGAGAGGCTGGTTTCACGTACGCAACCGGGGCAATCGGGCACAACACGCGTTCTGTGTATCTGTAGTACGGCATTTTGTACCAAAGCGAACTGGTTCTTGATTATTGGAATTACTTAAGGTTGCTGTCAAAGCGCAAGAATGGGCAGAGTTAGGTATTGGATCGTGTTGTGATCCAATTACCATGTGATGGGACTAAAATAGCCTTGGGGAATGTGTAAAACAATTACTCCTCTCCTCAAAACACAGAACCTACTTTTCTTATCCAGCTTTCGTATATTTTTTCTGGAATGCAGCCTGGTCCATGACGTTTGAAATGGCTGCCCGTAGTTTCACGCATGTGGTCGCTTATTGCTGAAATGTGTCTGATTCTCACCTTTTTAAGTTATTGAAGTCAATTTCCGAAGCACATAAATGGGCAGAGTAAAATGTATCATATTACATAGGGTGGGCACAACAGAATAAAGGAGACAGGTCGTTCGTGTATTTTTCGCCGGACGGTGGAGGTCGAGGGAGGAAACTTCTACGACAACCGAAATCCTAAGAATCATTCCGGTCAATTACGGCATGACTATTGTTATATGCCGCTCGGTTTTGATGTTGACCCAAGTGAACTTCATACTTGAAAGGCCTCGGATACCTTGTTGGAAGATTTGGAAGATGTGCGAGAAATGGCCCGGTGAACTGCGAACCCCGATAAGTGGAAAGCTTTCACCAATTAACCTAGCATTGTGTCTCAGTTGGCCGAAAACGGTATACAAGCGCTGGTGCTCAAAACGGACCTGGACATGTGTTGGAGCAAAGCAAGGTTTTCTTCTTCCCCAAATTACTTTTATTCTTGGGTTTAACCGACGCTTCTGTATGGTCGAGGGATTAGTTTTATATAGGTGATCATGTTTCCATGGCCATCGTTGTAGCAGTCCGTTCAGTGTAGTTGATCACGTGCCTGTAAAAGGGCTCTTTTCAATCGCGACCATCTGGTGCGAGATCAACTCTTACCGTCACATCAAAGTGGTGAGCAAACTTTGAAATGTTCCTGTATGTAGAGTAGCAAAATAAATCCAGCGGTGATCCCAGCAAGACGGCTGACTTCTTAACTCCGCAAGGTCGACCAGAGGTCGGCGGCCGCAAATACATCAAGGGAGGCATGTGGTCCCGATTTTTCAAGTCAGGTCCCCAAATCACCACTAGCATCGCCACTTTTTGAACCTGCGTGTCCGCAAAACGCAGGGTAAGAAAATGTGCTTGGCTTTTACCGGCTTCTGTTGGTAGGGTTGGGGGCTCCACAAGTTACTTTGTGCAAATTATGAAAGAGCGAACAACAAGCAACAGCGAACAGGTTTGCATGCCCCTATACCATAAGGGACTTAAAAGTGCCAGCCCCGGCTCTGGCGATATGTTGGGATGTAGCGAATCGATATTAACAAACTGTTTTTGGAGCACTCTAGCAAGCGACAACAAATTTCCAGCCACAGCTGCTGACGCGTCTTCATGTTTGTCATCAGTGCTTCCCACCAACCACATTGGGTCTGTTTTTGTTGTTTGTTTGTTCCTTTCCAGTTCAAATTTAAAAACTTTGCCAATATGTCCGGCTTGTTTAACAAAGCTTTCTTACGCATCTGTTACAGTTACGGGTGCAGTTTTCGCGATCAGTTAAATTTTCACGTTACTCAGATGGAGAGCGGAGTTATACGTGGAAGTTCCAATCTTTTTGAGGCTTAAGTCCAGCCCATCATATATCTATTTTCAAAACAGCGGATCATTTGATCTTAGAATTTGTGTTTCTTTGCAGTTGCGTATTGGAATAATGCCTGATCATAAAGAGCAGCCTCTGTGCTTCATTGGTAAGTTGCCTCTGTTTGCTGGAGGTAAAGGCTGTGAGGTGTAGGTGATTAAACAGGTGCCACCTGGGGAGCCTGGCAGCAAACGTGCGATCGAGGCCGTGTACTGCAAGACTGATGCTTAACACAAATCTGCTTGATGCTCCCAAAGAAGCTGAAGGTCTCTGAAGCATACGGCTGGGCTGGTGAACAGCGACGGAGGTCACAGGGTGCGGTCGTGGTAACCCATAATGATGTGAGGAATGCAGGTGCAAAAGTTCAGCAAGCCTTTCAATCTTAAGCAGGATGCTATCGATGTTTTGTTGGTGACGTTTTCCACCCGAAGTGAGCTGTACATACAGTGAATTTTCATCGGGCTGTGTTGTACACACGAGCTGCATGAGTCGCACTGAAGGCCGTGTTCTGAACACACCGTCTCCCCCCCCCCTCTCTCTCTCTCTCTCTCTCTCTCGTCTCTCTCACTCCTCTCTCCTCTCCCTCTCTCTCCTCCTCTCCTCTCTCTCGTCATCTCTCTCTCTCTCTCTCTCTCTCCCTCTGCCCAAGCGTGACCCCCCAGCGCGACCCCCGCGACCCGCGGCTGGACTGGCGCATGTCCTCCTCAGGATGACTGTACTGGCCAGCCGAGAGCACGCCTGCATCCACCCGATAGTGTCGCGCTCCGCCAACAAGAACGACGGCTGCCGAGAGCTCCGTGACCGGTACAACCAGTTGAGCCCCCCCCCCCCCCCACCGGGCTGACCGGCTGGCCGCCCCGCGTCCACCGCAGCACTGTCCGGCGCCTGCAACCGATCCTCCTAGCGCATCCAGCTCGTCTGCGGCCTGGGGTTGTTGGTTGTTTGCCGTCGAAGACGTCATCGAAAACCGACGCCTTCAGTTGTCGACCTCACTGCTGGTGAACGTTGCTGTGGCCTTCAGCTGGTTTGACGCCATGTTCACTTGTTGGCGACTTTATGGGACGAGCTGTAGAGTACAAACCCTTCCACTGGCTCAGGTGTGCACCTGATCGTGTCCTGCGCGGTGCGCCTGCTTCACATCACGTCTGAGCCCGTGCCCCGCGTCGACCGGTACTGCTGGTGGGCTCCGGAGCGCCCCCTGTGCTCGCCGTCTCGCGCCGGCCGCGCCCCCCGCCGGCCGCTGACGGCCGGCCCGACCCACCGCCAGGAGGGCTGCGGCTTCTTCTCGGGCGCCAGCCAGCGGCTGCACCATCCCGATCAGCTGGCGGCCTTGGGCCTGGAGGAGGCGTGGCCACTGGAGGAGCTGGTCGCCGTCGGCCGCCGTATCCGTGCCTGCCCTTACTACGGCGCGCGCAACCTGAAGGAGGCCGCCGACATTGTGTTCTGCCCTTATAACTACCTGGTGGAGCCAGGCATCCGCGAGTCGGTGGGTGGAGCGAACCCGCGGAGGGTGGGGATGTCGTGGTCTGGGGTGGAGCGGCCCGCGGAGGGTGGGGGTGCCGCGGTCTGGGGGTGGAGGGATTCACGGAGGGTGGGGAAGCCGTGGTCTGGGGTGGGGGATCTACGGAGGGTGGGGATGCCGTGGTCTAGGATGGAGGGATTCACAGAGGGTGGGGAATGCTGTGGTTTTGGCTTGGAGAGGTCTACGGAGGGTGGGGATGCCGTGGTCCGGGTTGGAGGGATTCACGGAGGATGGGGAAGCCATGGTCTGGGTTGGAGGGATTCACGGAGAGTGGGAATGTCGTGGTCTGAAGTGGAGGGATTCACGGAAGGTGACGATGCCGTTGTCTGGTGTTGAGCGGGGTGGTTTTGCGGCCCGGGGGACCGCCCCCTGATATGACCCAGACCTGGGTGTGCAGGTCATTGGTCAGTGCTTGATTGTTGTAGGTGAGCCGATTAGTGGCGAAGTCGGTACCAAATGTAGTTTGCGCGAGCTACATGATTTATTATATGCAGTTTTGAAGCTGGGGCAAAGTATCACTTGCGTGCGTCCTCCATTTTTTACGCAATTGACCCGCCAGTAAGCTCCTGAGCACATCGGCTGCTCCCACCGTTCACTGTTTAGTCTATCCAGCTGACGGCAGACCAACACCGCGTGACTCTGCCGCCAGCTGGAGATCAACCTGCAGAACCAGGTGCTGATACTAGACGAAGGCGCACAACATCGAGGACAGCTCGCGGGAGGCGGCCAGCCAGACGTTCCAGCAGGCGCACATCCAGGACGCCATCAGGGACCTGGAAAAGTGCGGCAGCGGCGGCCGCAAGACGCAGGCCGAGTGTCGGGACATGGTGAGCCGAGCGTGTCGGGACATGGCGAGCCGAACGTGTCGGGACATGGTGAGTCGAGCGTGTCGGGACATGGAGAACTGAGCGTGTCGGGACATGGTGAGCCGAGCGTGTCGGGACATGGTGAGTCGAGCGTGTCGGGACATGGTGAGTCGAGCGTGTCGGGACATGGTGAGCCGAGCGTGTCGGGACATGATGAGCCGAGCGTGTCGGGACAATGGTGAACCGGCGTGTCGGGACTGTGAGTCGAGCGTGTCGGGACATGGAGAACTGAGCGTGTCGGGACATGGTGAGTCGAGCGTGTCGGGACGTGGTGAGCCGAGCGTGTCGGGACATGGTGAGCCGAGCGTATCGGGACATGGTGAGTCGAGCGTGTCGGGACATGGTGAGCCGAGCGTGTCGGGACATGGTGAGCCGAGCGTGTCGGGACGTGGCGAACCGAGCGTGTCGGGACATGGTGAGCCGAGCGTGTCGGGACATGGTGAACCGAGCGTGTCGGGACATGGTGAACCGAGCGTGTCGGGACATGGAGAACTGAGCGTGTCGGGACATGGAGAACTGAGCGTGTCGGGACATGGTGAGCCGAGCGGCTGCACTGCCGCTGACCGCGGAGGCTGTGTCCCCGCTTTGTGGGCCGGACGTGTCCGGGTCCGGTGCGACCGCCGCTGTCGCGCGGAGGCTGTGTCGCCGCTGTGTGGGCCGGACGTGTCCGGGTCCGGTGCGACTGCCGCTGTCGCGCGGAGGCTGTGTCCCCGCTGTGTGGGCCGGACGTGTCCGGGTCCGGTGCGACCGCCGCTGACTGCGGCAGCGCCTGCGCTGCATCAGCCGCCGGACGCCGGGCACAGCTGCCCCTGGTGCCGCCGCTGGCTGGAGCGATGGCTGGCGCCGGTGTCCGTTCACGTCAAGCGGCGTTGGTGGGAACTACAGCTGACGCCGCCCTCCGCGTGTCGTGTGCGTCGGCTTGCTCGGCTGTCTGGCGCGCCACGGGGGTGTTTTGACGGGGCGGGTCGGTGGCTGGCAGGCACGCATGCTGTCACACATCAGCCAGTGGATGGATCGACACTCAGACAAGCTGGACCAGTACCGCGAGTTCGACCGGTCGTCCAAGATCCTGACAGGCACCGACATGGTGGCGCACTTCACCAGCATGGGCATCGGATACGACGCGTTCCCCGAGCTGCGAGTGAGAGGGAGAGAGGGAGAGGGAGAGGGGGATGGAGATGGAGATGGAGATGGAGATGGAGATGGAGATGGAGATGGAGATGGAGATGGAGATGGAGAGGGAGAGAGAGAGAGAGAGAGAGAGAGAGAGAGAGAGAGAGAGAGAAGAGAGAGAGAGAGAGAGAGAGAGAGAGAGAGAGAGGGGAGGGGAGAGGGAGAGAGAGGGAGAGATAGAGGGAGAGAGAGAAAGAGAGAGAGAAAGAGAGAGAGAGAGAGAGAGAGAGAGAGAGAGAGAGAGAGAGAGAGAGAGAAGAGAGAGAGAGAGATAGAGAGAGAGAGAGAGAGAGAGAGAGAGAGAGAGAGAGAGAGAGAGAGAGAGAGAGAGAGAGAGAGAGAGAGAGAGAGAGAGAGAGAGAGGAGAGAGAGAGAGAGAGAGAGAGAGAGAGAGAGAGAGAGAGAGAGAGAGAGAGAGAGAGAGAGATGCGGGAGCGACGCTTATGCGCCCGCCACCCGCACCACCTGATCCGTCGCTCGGCGATCAGAATGCACGAGTACCCTGACCACTCCACATGTGCTGAACCTTGTGAGCACTTGACTCTTATTGAACTCATTCCAATCCGTAGTCACGGTAGAAAATAAGACCGTCCGGTCCGGGGAGTCTCGGTCGCCATCGGAACAAAGTGCTCGCTCCTCACAGTAGGCGTGCGGCCGTGCCTAAAGGGGCTTGCGTCATGCTAGGGCGTGGCAGCAGCCGCTTGCCACTGAGGACATCTGTCTGCTGCCTCCCGCGCGCAGGCATCTTTCACGGCCCTCATGGGGGAGGAGTTGGAGGCCGGCGAGGAGGCGCTGAGGCAGCAGCAGCACGTGCAGCGGCTGACCAGCGGCACCACCGCCCTGCTGGGCAGCCTGCTGCGCGAGCTGGGCTTCATCTACGGCGAGAACATGAAGCACCGCGACGACTTCCGGATCGCGCTGGTCCGCTCCATGGCGCGTCAGCAGACGCCGAGCGCGCAGGTGCGGCGCTCCGGCCGTCTCGTGTGCGGCTGACGCTGGTGGGAAAGCAGGGGTTGTGATGGCATTACCAGCTGTTCTGTGGGGTCGTGTGGGTCGACAGTGCTTGTGGAGGTGTCTTAAAATGGTGATGTTAAAAAGTCCTGGTGAACTGGAGCGACTGTCGGATTACGCGTAAATACCGGACACCGGTATCTTGGTATGAGTGTCCAACAAACGTAGACCAGAGAACACGACACGTCTCCGCTGGCCTTCACAAAGCGCGTCTGCTGTAGTCTTGAGAAGTGCCCGTAGCCGGAGCGGCGGCGGCGGTCTCCCCGGTGACGGGCGACTCGTGGGCGCCGGCCGCCCGCTGACCGAACGCTGCTCTCCTCAGGGTGGCTGGCAGTCGGCCCGGCCGCGCGCCGCCCAGCCGGCCTGGGCGCTGGCTTTGCACTTCTGGTGCCTGAACCCGGCGGTGGTGTTCGCGCCGATCGGCCAGGCGGCGCACAGTGTCATCGTGGCGTCAGGCACGCTCTCGCCGCTCAGCTCGTTCGAGTCCGAGCTGGGCGTGCCGTTCCGGGTCAAGCTGGAGGCCAGCCACGTCATCGCGCCCGAGCAGGTGCTGCGCGGAGCTCCCGCTGTCCATGATCGGGCCCTGATGTCTGGGCATGAGGCTCGCTGTCTGGGACGAGGCCTGCAGGCTGTGGACGAGGCCCGCTGTAGGGGACGGGGCCCGCAGTCTGTGGACGAGGCCCGCTGTCGAGGGTCGGGGCCCTAATGTCTGGGGACGGGGACCGCTGTCTGGGACGGGGTCCGCTGTCTGGTGATGGGGCCTGCGGTCTGGGCAAAGGGCCTGCGTTCTAGGCCCAGCTAGGTACCACGGACTCTGGTGTCCGCGCTCCAATGTCTTGTGTCCGTCCTACAGCGACGCCGCCCTCCTCAACTTCTGTCAGCGTGGCATCGGCCTATCCAGTGTATATTTCTACGCGGCACTCGTTTTCATTGTGTCTATCCTAGTGTGACGCTTGCCTTTTGGTGTTGGAACTCTGTATTTCCCTCCACGTCGTGTCTTCGTGCCACATCGACCCCCCCCCCCCCCCCCCCATCATGTGTATGTGTGCGGCGACCGTCGTCCACGGGCCGCAGGGCTCCCTCTGCTCTCGATCTCCGTGTGACGCCCCCCCCCCCCCCCCTCTCCCGCCCGTCAGGTGTACGTGGCAGCCATCAGCCACGGGCCGCAGGGCGGCTCGATGAACGCCACGTACCGAAGCTCGGAGCAGTTCAGCTTCCAGGACGAGCTGGGCGGGCTGGTGCTCGGCGTGTGCGCCGCTATCCCCAACGGCGTGCTCTGCTTCTTCCCCTCGTACTCCATGCTCGACAAGCTGGCCAGGAGGTGTGTGATGTGCGAGCCGGGAGCCTCTCGACGCGAGGCTCGGCTGAAGGGAAGCGTTCGAAGGCTCGGTTCGAAGCGATGGCCCGGCTCAGGCGACGTTCAGTATGTTGCATTGCGCGGGCTGGTGGATCGCACGCTGTGAGAGGCTTCTGCCAGCGTCGAGCCATATCGTCGCTATTGCGTCGCCTCATTTTATCTGGACTTTTTGTGAAAGTAAGGATATGTTTTCCCGATATCGCTAAATGGCGATTGTACCTGAGCACGTAATGGGAAAAAGTGACCAGGGTGCTTCGCATTCGGCCATTTGCATGGTCTCCTTTTCCTGGCACCGGCGACCCCTGACACCACTGGTTACCGGCTGTGTTCACAGATGGCGCGCGACAGGGCTGTGGGAGCGGCTGGAGGCGCGCAAGCCGGTGCTGTGCGAGCCGCGACGCTCTGGCGATTTCAGTGAGATGATGCGCGAGTTCCGGCACCTGGTGGACGGCGACGAGGCCGGCGCCCTGCTGCTCGCCGTCTGCCGCGGCAAACTCAGCGAGGGCATCGACTTCTCCGACGATAGCGCGCGCGCCGTCATCACAGTACGGGTCACGTCCAACGATCCGTCCGGTTCTCATTCACGGCTTCACCCGCAATCCTCTGAGCGCTCCGTCCCGCCGGACATGCTGCGGTTGTCAGTCAGGAGACGGCTTCCTGGCCGAACTGGCGGGAGTGCCGCCCGGCCTGCCACTCCCACCCCCAATGGAGGGGCCCTGGGCGGGGCGAGGATAGCCAGCAGAGATATCCCGAGACGACCGTAGCGCTCCAGGCCGTGCCACGACAGCCCACGGCTCACCTCTCCTCCGTCCCATAGCTCTGCAATGGTCGTTGCCGTCCAAAAGAGCTGTACTCCAGCCGAAGTCCAAACGAACCAAAAGCCCGTGCAGCATGCTGCTGGGCCGCCTGGCGTGGTGTTAGCTCACGCCTCAGCTCGCTGGCGGCTGTGACCGCAGTCGGTCACTCATGCGTCCGTCAGCGGGCTGTCTGAAGTGCGTCTGTGCTGGCTTACAATGCGCTGGACTGATGCCTTCAGCGCTCCTTGTGGGGCGGAGACACGCCGTCTAGATGACACGGCAGTCAAGCACCGCCAAAAACTCACGTCACCTCTTCCGTTTAACACGAGACCGGCCCAAGCAGTCAACCATTTGACACTCGGCGATAGCATCGGTTTTGGGATGTGGGCACATACTGTATAAGGCGTAGACTGTATAAACCTGGTGTGGATGCACTTTACATGCCCACTTGCCATTATGGGAGTCCTTTGCTCTCAGTATAGTCGGCGGAGGGGACTTCCGCGGCTGTGCCACTGTCTGCGAGCTTGCCACCCACCGCTGTGGTCCCGTGTGTACAGGTGGGCATCCCGTACCCGAACGTGAAGGACATCCAGGTGGACCTGAAGAAGCTGTACAACACGGCGCACGCCTCAAGCCGCGGCCTGCTCAGCGGTCACGAGTGGTACGGCATCCAGGCCTACAGGTGGGTTAGCGGAGAGCGGCCGGGGCACGGCTCGGGCGGGGCCTGGAGCTCGCACCCGCCACAGAGAACCCGCTCGAGTATGGCAACGTGGAGCGGCCGGAGCACGGCTGGGGCGGGACCTGGAGCTCACACCCGCCACAGAGAACCCGCTCGAGTATGGCTTGCCAGTCTGTCGCTGTTGCTGTCGCGCCCGAGTCGCATCGCGTCCGTCCTCTACTGTCTCTGACCGTACCACACGGTTGGCTCGCCACTGGCCTGGCTGTGGGCCGCCCGTGTCTCGTGTTCACCACGAAGCGTTGACCGCCGACCGCGCCTCTGGCGGCAGGGCGCTGAACCAGGCGCTGGGCCGCTGCATCCGGCACCGGTACGACTGGGGCGCCATCTTGCTGGTGGACGACCGGTTCGGGCGGCCGCGCGGCCTGGACGGCCTGTCGCGCTGGCTGCGCAGTCTGGTGCGCCAGCCGGCCGACTGGCTGACCGTCGCTGGCGCGCTGCGTCAGTTCGCCGCCGACATGAAGCTCTGGTCCGAGGAGCAGCGCCGCCAGCGCCAAGCCGAGTGCGTGACGGCGGACCCGGCGCCGGGCCTGGGCCGGTGGCTCGGAGTGCGCGGCGTGCGGGGAGAGGGAGCGGGACCAGACCTGGCATCCGGAAGAGGTGCAAGTTCAGTGTCTCGGCATAGGAGGTGCCCGGTGGGATAAGGAGGAGCGGGCGGTCTGAGGTGGTCTGGTGACCGCATGGGGGATGACGTTGTAGGAGAGGTCGTGGGGATGTGACGAACTCTGCCGCCGTCCCGGGTCTGACGCAGCCCGTGCGCTGTACATGGGTCCTGTACGGCGTTCCCGTATTGGCAGACGCGTGTCGGATATGACCGATCGACCACAGACTGGACTGACCAGCCATGAACAGTGCACACAGTACTGACCTAGCGATATCTCAATAATATGCGTTCATTTGTTTCCCGAGTTACCTTTGACCTAGTCCCTGCTGGGTTCAGGTGTGACATTATGTAACGGTAAGAAACAATGACTGTTTGATAATTGACTGTTAATGACTGTTTAATAATGTGTTTGGTTGCATGTATGATTTGATTGTTGCACCCTTTGGCTTGGCTGTTTGTGTCGTGGCGGATCACGTTCGCTCACGCACGCTTTTCGTCTGTTTTTCCAGTGCGACTGAAGCGGCCAGTCTGGTTGCCTCCGCGGCTGTTGTTGACGCCGAATGTCCAAAGCCATTCGCCGCCTCTATCGCCACGCCACCGATGTCGCCCGCCAGTGACCGTTCGCCGGGCCCGACATCTGTCGTCGGGATCGGGCAGTTCCAGTATACCAGTCCGCGACCAGGTGGTGCTAAAGGCGGCCAGCAAGTGCTGTGTTTACCGGTGTCGAAGGCTCCGCGAGTGCCGGGCGCTCCTAGCCAGGAGATCGTGACAGTGAACGGGGCACGCTTTTTGCGCCTCACAGACCAGGGGCAATCACGGCTAGTACCGCTTCTGACACCGCACGGTGTGCCCGCGGCCGCCGTGTTGGAGACTGGACCGGCCTCTCCGGCGACTGGTGACGGTGCCGACCAAGAAATGACATTGCCGTCGGCAGAGAAGCGGCCCCGCCGTTCCAGCTCGAGCCCGGGAGAGCCCGCCCCGGAGGACGCTGCGCGGGCTCCCTCCCCGGTCCTTTTTGGAGACGGGGAAGGCGCAAACAACACGAACGCGGTCCAACCAGTTTGTAAGATTATGGTCACCTTCCCGGGGAATCTGCGGATGACACCGCACTGTAATGCATGCCGGATTTGCCTTCCCGTGGGCTGGCTCACCAGCTTGTGGCTTACGTTCTCGCCTGCTTGCCGGCATGTGACTTCGCTGGTTTCCTTCTTCAGGTGTCTCATAGTTCCAAAGCGAGCAGCGTTTCGGTTACGTGCTGAAACAATCCTCTGAGCTGCAGTTGCCAGCTATCGGCATCAAGTGGGGTGCGTCCGCCGACCACGTTCGGCTGCCCCGTTCACAGCAGCTTCTTGACCCGACCTGTCTTCTGGTGCCGTCGTGCCGCTACACGGCCGCGCTCCCACCGCGGCCCCGCCCCCTCCCGCCTGGAAGGGCGCCGCTCCCGCTGACACGGCTCTCCGTTACAGCCGGCAGGCGGCCCATGTTCCGGCCGGGGCGGCTCGCTGACCGCCGGTCGCAGGTAAGCCACCCTCCTCCCTCCCGGGAGATCACTACAGGGGGCGCCGTGTCCAGTGTACGGTGGTTCGGTGACGAGGCGGACGGTGCGGCCGTTCTCTGGCCTGGTGACCTGATGACGATGGGTGGAGAGTTGTGATGAATTCGGCATGCGTGTATGTTGCCTTTTGTGAGTGGGTTGCATGCAGTCGAATGGGGTCATCAGTACAGTGTGCTCAGGTGCAGACAGACCTGGGCAGTACGTACCGAGCGTCGTACCGCGGTCTGCCTCGACGCACGGGGCGGGGGCACTGTAGGCGGGCTACTGTGACCATTCCACGCCCCTCTTCTCAGGCGGAGACCCAATCACCGGAGGTGGTCAGGAAGACGCTGTTGACAGCCGGGTGCACCGCGCGTGCTCGGCCGGCGACCCGGCGCACCAGGGGCGTCATCTTCATCAGCTCTGATGAAGAGGACTAGCTGCCGCGGGCGCGGAGCTCGCGCCGCCACGGACGGCAGGCGCGTGGCTGGGAGCGGCACGGTAGGCTGCCGTCGACGGGCAGGCCAGAGCTGCAGTTGCCGGCGACGTGTGCTGCTCTGGACAGAAAATACAGTGAGGGATCTGAAATGTTTTGTTTTTTTACCAGAACATCTTGTAATTGCGACGAATTTGATACACAAATCCACTCATCTCAGTGGCCGCGATGAACTGTGGGTAACTTGAATGGAACGGGTGCTTGGCATATATAAATGTGTTTGGTACTGTTAGTAATGTGGTGCCAAGTACCTCAAGCAAGTCGTTTAGGGAATAAATAACTGGTACTGTGGAAAATATGTATCTGCTTACATCTAGAACGATGCATCGCAGCACCGCAACGCCGCACATGCTGCACCGGAACGCTGTAACGTTGCAGGTCCCAAAGTGATATCTGCAACACTAGATCACAGTTTTATTTCGTTAGTGATCGTTCAGCTTGGAAACTCAGTGGTGTGTGATCAGGCAGATTTTTCGAGTTCTCAGGCGAAGCGAGTTCATCAGGCGGCCTGGATCAGTGTGATGTCGGGCTTTCCTTGCTCAGTTGGGGATATTTGTAAAACTCTGTCCGTGCAAACTGGCGACACGATGCCAGTTGGGGGGGGGGGGGGGG